TCCTCCCTCCCCTTTTCCAGTCTGATTTCCCCTACCCACTCTTTTCACTTATAGAAACCCGCCACTGCTGCATTAGCCTGCTGATGACCACTGGCCAGTGGAGTAATCCCTGGTATTGCGTGTATGCGCTTGACCAGCGGTTGAGCCGGTGCATGTAGTATTTATTGTATTACGATACCCAGCTATTCCGGACAGGTCACGAGGTTACTTAGACATTAGGTCCGAGCGGTCAACTCTCTGTGACCCAGAATAGACGGATAACATTATTGATTCCCCAGTCTTTGTTAAACTGGCCGAAGTTGCTGACCACTGGTCAGATCTTTTGTGTATCATAGCTTTAAACAGTTAATGTAAAACTTCGGATGATCACTAGAGCAGGTTTACCGGGATATTTAAACAATGGTCAAACCGCCATGAACCACCATCAGCAGTGTCCAACGGGAGCTCTAACATGGTAGTGTACTAGATACGAGTGTATATAGGCTATAACGACTCGAGAGGATTTATCCTGGGTATGATTTTGTTTACTAGTCCAATGTTTACGTGGATATGGAAGCCAAATTTAACGTTCAGGATGCCGACTTTGAGGATGCGTTGACCGTGCTGAGGAGGATCACAGAACCGGGAGGCGCGGTGTCCATAGTCAAACTCCTGGCAGAAAAATCAGACATGCTTGGGTACGTGTGTACTCGACACATCCATCATTCATTTTCCAATAAACCCCCACGGTACGGAGGAATCTCGAAAAGTCTCGTTATTTATCGGATCATTTGGTCTCCAAGTATGTCGAGGTCCAGTAGAATCATTCTGGTGTATAGAACGACTTTAACCGGCAAGTTTAATTAGCACTGTTTGGTGGCATCGGTGTAGTACAGAAGTTTTAAAGTGCCACTGAGTGGTGGCATTAGTGGAGGATAGACAAGTCAAAGTGCCACTGTGAGTCACAGATCGGTGGCAACACTGTATAATATACAAATATTTGTGCCACTGTGAGTCACATATCGATGGCATCAATGTAATATACAAATCTCTGTGCCAAATGTCGGTAGCATCAGTGATATAACCGTCAGATCCACTGTGAGTCACAGATCGGTGGCAACACTGTATAATATACAAATCTCTGTGCCAAATGTCGGTAGCGTCAGTGATATAACCGTCAGATCCACTGTGAGTCACAGGTCTGTGGCATCCGTGTTTTGCAGAGAAATCTTAGTACCACAATGAGGCAAAGATCGGCGGCATCAGTTAAGATATTATTTAACGGTTTAGTATAACTTCTAGAAGTCTTTTGTGGCATGCTATGAGTTAAGTGCCGAAAGTTAGACAGCGGCGATGTTTATTGTCTGACATTCTTACAAGTCTAAAAGCGTTATTACCCGTGTGTGTATTGGTATGAAAGACTCTAACAACGGAATTAGATTAGATATCTACATTTCTTGCCGAAACTTGACCAACCACAGTATTCAATTTGACTTAACTTGTTAGTGTTAGCTCCTATCTTCCCTTTGTCTATACGGTTTAGGATCATTGCATTCAATGACGATCAAAAGATTTCCCGTAAACATCCCTGTCACATGTGTAAAATTCTATATTTACACATGACTAGCCAGTGGGCAGTGCTGTGGCAGGCCGGCTGGGTCAGACTGACCGATGCGTGTACTGGCTAAGTCAGTGACCAACAGTACACCTACTATTACACACATACATTCGAGCTGTTAGTTCACGGCGTGTGAAGTTTGTATGTTGCACCAGACTCGCTTGCTGGATGGTCAGTACTGGCCAAACTTTACTCGGACCATTGAGCATGACAAGTTGACCACCTAATATCGGTATTTCAGATGACCGACCCATCCTGTATATCGGAATTGTAAAACCCCAGGATATTAATATGTTGATGGGGTGTTTTCAAGTGGAGGATCCCACACATTTTTACAGGTAAACTGATACTGACCAGGGGTCAAACAATGGAAGGACAACAGGAAGTGGCCTTACCGCAGAGTTAACAATTTCATTATAGCAAAGACGACTGATCTACCGCGTATACATTGTAGAGGAAGTTTGGCGATTGTGGTGTATCTTGCACTTGACGCCATTAAATAGCCGTTATGAAAATCTAGTAAATAAACCTCGGACTAAACTTACTTACATCTGTAGGTATTTTAAGCAGAGGCGTATTTTTTGTCCAGCTCCGGACCCCATACACTTTAAGTATATACGTCTCTATCCTGTCCAAATGAAACCATTTTTTGAATGATATTTAAATTGAGCTTTAACATCTTTTGTAGGGATTCCCTGGATAAAATGACCCCCAAGGATGAGCACACGGGGGTAGGGGGTATGATGTCACCTGGCAATTACCTGTCAGTTTCACACCTGATGCCCCATTCAAGTCATGTTCCTTCGTCCACCACCTCCGACATGAGGGACCACGAGGGATCCCTGCTCCCCCTCCTCGATGCATCCATGTCATACGCCGGAAGTAGAAAGTTCAAGCAGCACGCGAGTCCATCAGGTTTGTAATTTTAATATAATACATTTATTAAAGGTGATAACAGCTGTTTGATACAAATGTGTTGATTTTCTTCCAACAGATTTTTGGGGAATACTTTGTAAAATCGTTCTATAGTTGCTTTTCTACTAAGACATATTGTTTTTTTAATATATCTGTGTATATATATATATATAAAGACTTATGGGTATTATATGTACGAGATATAATGTCGTGTTTCTTTATGTCTCCCTAATCTGTTACGCTGTCCCAGACGGACATAACACATGTAAGGGTTACCCATGTAAGTACCCCGAGGTCGTAATACACTGGGCGTGATTGACGGGAAATAGACATCGTACATGTATTGGTGACAGATGACGAATGACAGGTGTCAAAACCGTCTGGGGTTAGGCTCGTACACACATGTGTAGTCTGTAGTATAATTGTAAATATGATTACACGTGTGTATGTGATTGTAAATATACGTATGTGTACAACATAGTTGTAATAAACTTGTGTATTACTTATAAGTGTGTTTCAGTAAATAAACGTGTGTATTAGTACTGAAATTGGCATCACTGTGCATGTGTCAATGCACATGTGTAATTGTATAAACTTTTACTAACGGGTAAGACCGATCATCAGTTATGATATAAGTGTATAAACCTTTATTAAGGGGTAAGACCGAGCATCAGTTATGATATAAGTGTATAAACCTTTATTAACGGGTAAGGCCGATCATCAGTTATTATATAAGTGTATGCCTTTCACTATCTAGGGCCGGTTTGATAACGCATGTATTTAAGGATCTTCGAACTACTGACAAAAAAATGAATTGATGCAATTTGAAACTTTTTTCTGGCATGACTAATGCTTTGAGAAATCATTTCGGAATTTCTTTAAAAAAAATATGAAGATGAAATATTCTGAGAGTTAACGCGCGATGGGGCAAGACCTGGATTCGCACCCTGGTCCTCTGAGCAATATCCTGACGCTCTAACCAACAGCACTACCTGGCCACTGGTTTTGTCGGGAGGTTTTACGGCTATACTACAAGTATATATAGTTCCAAAACGATATAAATGGGGGATTACAGTTTGTACGAAAAACCATAATGAAACTCTCAGTTGCCTGCAGTTGGCCCACACAGGGATCCCTCAGCATTGAAACGCCAAACAAGTTCATTGTTGGCAAGCTGTATCTATTACTGACACTTTCGTACAATAAGAAAAAAATCGTTACGACATGCTTGTAGGAAGTGCTGCTATTACAGCATAATATTATAATAATAATTGGAGGTTCTTATAAATCGCTTTATCACAACCTAGTTCGTAGGTCGTCTCAAAACAGTTCACAAATTATTATCCGTGGTTATAGGTCCTTTGCAACCAGCCAATACATTTCTCAACTCTATGGGGAGCATACAGCCGGAGCTGCCATTTTGGCGCTAACAGCTAACATTCTGCAATTCTAGTACTGCCCAACCACGTATTCATTTACAGCTGAGTAGACTGGAACAGTAAAGTATAGTTAACGCGACATGGTCTGTCTCTCTGAACATTTCTGAGGTACACGATCAGTGTATTTAAAAGAATAATCAGTATTATTTTTGGGATTATAGGTACATCTATACCGATAAAAACTGTGTGCAGTTTGAATAAAACCGATTAGCTATTTATGTCTAGAATGCACACGATTTCTCGGTATTTAGTGTATAACCTTCAAAATAGGTTTGCTTATTCCTTATAATTAAATTGCTTAAAACAGACAACACTCGCAAAGTGCATAGTTTATGAATATTTACTCATTACTGATATAAAAGAAAAAGCTCAAAACAACAACATTGCACTGTCATTTCATCGCCAATAAGAAATTTAGCATTTGTCATACGCTTTGCCAATCTGTCCCTGCAGGTAGGGCGTAAGAACTGTGCCTGCTGCCCCCATTGCATAATCGTAAGAGGCGACAAAATTTGGGATCTTATATTTTCTCTTCTTTCTAAACAACTTTCTTCTTCCTAATGTCTCCCTTGACAATTCCTCACTTTTGGCGTTAAGTTGAGCGTTTGCCCCTGTGACAAAGGCTTTGGGTTCTGTCCCCTGGCCGAGACATACCAGAGTCTGTAAAAATGGTAGTTTATCCTCCTGCTTAACCCTCAGCAATTTAGGAGTTGGACGACTGGTTCGCCCGTTGTCAGTATAATGTGACCGGGTTGGGTGTCCTGCTGGGTGTTTTCGGCAGTATGTTTCAGTGAGGTAGCACTATAAAGTCGGCATCAGTTCCGCGCTATCACAAGGCGACAAACACGAACATATCACAGCCTCCCAAAACACACACGCATACACTACACGCAAGCATCTTGCACACAGGGGAGGCCGTCCTTAATGACCGTAGCTTTTGGTAGGACGTTAAACAATATTAAACCAAACCAAACCAACGCTTCGCCAATCATTGCGGTATACAACGTCACCATTTTGGTGTTGTCTTTTTCAAGGTTATGCGGTATTACCTGAAAAGGTCTATCCTTGGGGGAATAACCAAAATTAAATTACGTCTTCATATTGTACTGTTGAAACATTTAGCGATGGTAAACTACAAATGTGTTTATTTATTTACAGGTCCCAACACAAACAAGTTATGTCAAGTTTGTAACGACAATGCTTCCGGATTCCACTACGGGGTGTGGTCGTGTGAGGGGTGCAAGGCATTCTTCAAGAGGAGCATCCAGGGTAAGTTCAAAGTTCAATTTATTCCATGTTGTTTCTCCTCAATATTGCTTATGATTGAAACTTTCGGGCAAGATAGATTTCGTCGATGTCTATCTGTTCGTCCAATTATTGTCATTTGCTACCTACATTTTATCGAAACTATATATAGGTATATAGTATCACTAGGCAATATGTTGCATACCTATATTACTAGGCTCGGCTAAAGGTCACAGCGACGGGTCAGATGGAAATTTAACAGGGTTTTCCAGCCTGTCCGGAGAATAGTGTCGGATTTGCTATAGATATTTTCTTTGTGAAATTCTGTACACCGCTAGATACCTTGTCTTGTTGAACTCTCATATCCGTATGTCTAACGTGTAAGGTAACGACAAGGGTTCAAAAATCGCATCTCTCTAGTGTAGTTTATACACGACTCAATATGTATCATCACACATCTTAAATTGGTTACGTTCCATGATGAGACGTTGCGGGGTACCTATTTTACGTCAGTACACAGAGGTCAAGTTACAGGGTCAGAGGACAAGTTACAGGGTCAGAGGTCAAGTTACAGGGTCAGAGGACAAGTTGTACTGATGCATTTCCGAGCAATAACTTTTGAATGTATTATGATGAAATTTCAAAGATTAATGGTTAATCACTTGATATTGAATTGATAAGAATTGGACCAAACCTGATGGCTTCAGTATTCTCATGGTCAAACAGTTATTATTTTCTTTGCCAATTTGAAATCCAAGATAGAAGCAGCTGCCTCATTTGTTATTTAAGCAATAAACTAGCGCGCACCATTCAGTTTGTCTGTGACACATGTGGCAGTTATACCAGTTGGTCTGCCACATCTATGCAGTTTATTGCTTATATTTATATTTCCATAATGAGAATTCGCAAAAAAAAAATATGTCTTTTCCAAATTTCAAATTTCCCGCTTATTACCGTCAGGTCAGGTCAGTATCTAGAACGGCAAAAAGATAACAGCTGACGTCATGCGCTATTTCCCATACAAAATTGAAAAGACTCCGCAATTTTCGTTAATAATTCATTTGATTTTGATTTATATATATATCATATTCTCGATTCATAAATAGTAACAAATGACATTTTGTAAGTAACTAATCAAGTGTCGTAAAACATTTTCCGATTTTATTGCGACCTATATCCGGCGCACGAACTCAACGGAAGCCCGCAGTAATCGGGTCAGAGTTATATTTACAGTCCGGCATGTTGTTGATGTTGATCGTGCAACCGGAGAAGGTTGATTGGTGAAAAATCCAGGCGTGAAATTGTTTGTTGATCTCACAGACACTTGAGACAGTCAGCTGGTGTTCGGGATCAAAGCAGAAGATACCGAAAAGTTCGGTAGTGACACTGTTAAGTCGCTCGGAGGTGCAAAGACCAACTTCAGTTATAGTCTCATAAGATGAAGCTGCTATTGGCAGTACTTTAGTAGTAATATATAAGGGCTTTGCCACACCAAATGTAAATATTCCTTGTGGAGTGCCACTATTCTTGCTTTAAACAAAAAGCTATGCCTTGATAATGTGTTGTTATTTTCGTGCTAATTCGAAAACCAAGATATAGCCACCTTGACCTGTAATCGAAGAACATATTTTCCGTTCTCACGTTCCATTATAACATTTTTTTTAAGGAATTTGGTACACAGTAGCAGAGCTCAAAATAAGCTTTTCTAAAAACTCTCCGTGACCATTGAGGAAAACATTGAATAAATATTGGATAAACAGGGCCCTTGAGTCTCCTTTTTATCTAAAATCTGATGTTTGTATGTTTGTATATTAATCAAAGGTCAGTGAATACATGCGAACGTATTTAGTGTGTGTATCGCTTTAATTAACGACTGTTTAAAGCATCGACACTAATTATTATTATAAGGTAATCATTATGCGCCTTGGGAACACCAACTCACACATCCCACACTGATTAACCTCGCTAGGGTAACTCGGTATAAATGATGTTTTGGGGCGGTGCTTCAGTGTAGGTGCCCCACGAGGCTGACGTGTCCTATGCTGGAGCTGCTGTAACAAGCTCCCCGGCAGCACCACTGTGCTGTGCTTGGTCCAGGATTGGAAGCCCTGTATATCGATTCGTACTTATATGCCAATGGTATTAAAAGCATTGTTAGATTTGTTTTTAAAATTCCAACTAAATACATCCTGGTAAATTTCTGAATAAAACCCCCAGAGAATTGTGAGATTTAAAAAATTATCATACAAACTTTAGAAGTGAATCTCAAGCGATCTTAATATTTTGTGATAGTTTTGACTTGATATTATAAAAAGATTGTAAGACTGTATGATGCCGTACAGCCACATACAGTTGCACTTACTGATCTGAATGTCTTACGTATTTAAGTTCACGTGCGTTGGCGTATTTGTATGGCTACCACACAGGACAGCCATAACCGTAGTGTTACGTGGACTTAAACATAATGAGCACGTTGCAGACATTACCGATTCTGTCGTGCTTAAACCGCCGCAGAAACAGACGACAAGATACGTTTTAAGGGTTCGTCATCAGTTACCTTGCGACGTTTCAGTACCATATATTTGTGATAGAACCTGCTAGGTGAGTACAGTGTAGTTTTGTTTTACAGGTCCTGTTGATTATGTGTGTCCGGCCACAAATACATGTACCATTGACAAACACCGACGAAAGAGCTGTCAAGCATGCAGGCTACGTAAATGTTACGAAGTTGGCATGAACAAAGGTATGAAAATCATCAATGTTTACATTAAAAAAAATCATCGTCATTTCAATGTTGATATTAAAGCATCGCCTTTGCAATATGTTTTAAGCTTTTGTTTAAAACATGTAATTCGTTATAGCTTATACAATAATAAAATAAACAGGACCAATGTAGTCTTTCACGAAACGCTCATGTGCTGATTTTGTTGCTTTTCCTTCGACTGACAGGAAGTCAGAGGAAAGACCGGAAGAGTTGTCTAGGCATGGGCAAGCAAACGACTAAGAGAAGTCGCGCAGATTCAATGGACAACACTGTTAACTCAACAAGTGGCAGTCCTAATCCAGCTAAGGTAATTAAACAATTGTTCTGTATTCAATAAGCAACATATTTCATAATTCACCCAAATACAGTAGGAAATTACCTCAATAGCGATTTGTAACCGTTAGATATTTGTATAATCTCAAATTATACTGCTAACTGATCTTGCAACAGTGATCACTGTTTTTCACAACTCGACACCTGGTGTTTTGTAACCCATTTTTTTACTTTCAACTTTTTGTATTATTTCCGATCATATAACGTTTTTCAAAATGTATTCACGGTTGGAAACATCAAGAGGCAACCGTTTCAAAAATGTACATAAAATATACAGCATACAAAAAAGCTAATGTCGTATTAAACCTTGTTAATCATGAATTCTGAGCGATATTAGTAAAAGATTTTATCAGTAAAGCATATTTGATATTGAATCCTGAGTTTGAAATTTGTATTTCCATCCTCAGAGTCCGAGGCGGTCTCAGACGTCCACCATACTGGACGTTTTAGCCAAGGCGTACTTGCCCACGATAGAGAGTTTCCACAACCACAGTGCACCGCCCACCAAAGTACATTTATTAAACTCGTTGACAAAGCTATCCGAACGGGAACTAGTCCATCTGATCAACTGGGCCAAGAATGTTCCAGGTAAATTCTTGTTTGTGCTACCTTACCAGATATACATGGCATTTGTGTACGAATTTTAGTGTTTTACCTCACACAATTATTATTGAAGTATAAACGCCCAATTTTTCATGCAGTATAAATTAATTTGATAAATTACATCTCTAAAGATGAACCAATTAAGTTAAGGAACTGATGCTCATGTGTTGTGTAAGTGCAGTCCCGCATGGGTTTTGGAAAATTCCAGCTTCAATCCGTGTAAGAGTTAAATTTGCAGCATTTGCTATTCATGATCTTATCCCTTGTTACCTGGTTATTACGGTACCTTCATATTATTTAAAACCTACTGCTGTTTGATTACCGTGCTATGTAGTAGCCGTGTAGTTTTCTGCAAAGACATATAACATGCTGTAAAGACATAAAAACATGATTTCTTCCGGAAAGACATAAGTTTTCCGTAAAGACATAAGTTTTCTGTAAAGACAGAAGTTTTCTGTAAAGACAAAAGTTTTCCGTAAATACAGAAGTTTTCTGTAAAGACAGATATTTTCCGTAAAGACAGAAGTTTTCTGTAAAGACAGATATTTTCCGTATAGACATAATTTCTTCCGTAAAGACATAAGTTTTCTGTAAAGACATAATTTCTTCCGTAAAGGCAAAAAAATCTGTAAAGACAAAAGTTTTCCGAGAAGACATAGATATAGATTATCGACACAATATTGACTGAAAAATGGTTTTCCTGGCTAGAAACCAGTTTTATCCCTGTTTCATCCCAATTTTACTTTATTCTACTGAACGGATTTTAGGTGTTAAAGGGTTAAAACACGAATCAATCTCAAAAAGCTAGTCTAAAACATTATGTCAATTGTATTCAGTCTTCATTTATTGAAGTTAAATTATTTATTCATGTTTAAAGTTTAGTAAACAAAAGACTGACAAAAGTGTGATCTGGAAGTTTATTTTGTTATTCATACACGAGCTATGAAACGGAGGTCACGCGATTGTTTTCAAATATATGAAGGGTGAAAGCTGCTAGTTTTGAAGTCCGTCGTTATACCTTTTTTCTTCCATATTTACGACATTCACATTTAGTCTTTTTAAATATATTAACACACCTTAATTAACTTTATTCATGGTAAATAATTAAAAAATAAACAAATGAAACCATAAGGATAATTGACAGACTTTCGAGAATTCTTTTGTTACATGTTAGCGGTTAAAACAAAAAAGGGAAAATATGCACAAAGCCGATACCGACCATTAGAATGATCAATTTCCCATCACTTCGGTATGAATTAAACATTTCTTATCCGACTGGTGTCAAGTCAAATACACGTTTCACTGGGAGCATCACTCGAGTCCAGACACTATTGTCCGAGCAAACGGCCTTTGATCTATCGGTCATTTATAAGGGATTACTCCGGCAGAGAGTCATAAAAGAGGTTATTTTATCCAACAGTCGTGGATGGCTTTCTGTACGACTGACCGGTGACGGAGCCGCTCCGCCATTGTCAGCGCTGGACATTATACCGTATTGTAAACGTAAAATTGGCTTTACTCTGTCCTCAGGCTACACAGACTTGTCCCTTAGTGACCAGGTCCACCTCATCGAATGTTGCTGGATGGAACTTCTACTGTTGAACTGCGCATATAGGTCAATGGACCATGGCGGAAAACGACTGGCTTTCGCATCAGACCTTATACTAGAAAGGTAACCATACTTTATCACCATACATCTCAGCGTTGTAAAACGTTTGCAATAAGGTGTCTGTTGTTGAAAGCATGACAAGCTTTACATCAATAAGTGTTTTTCGTCTAAGACATTTATGTTCAAATGCTAAATTCATATGAATGTTCTGAACAAGATTAGCAAGCATTTTTTTTTAAAGAATTGATTTTGCAGCTTATCAGTCAACAAAACTGGAAATAAGACAATATATTACTTTATAATAGATCCATGTTTGTTAAAAAAAACATAAATTTACGTTACAAATATCTACATGATATAAGAAAATAACACTCGAACAAAACATGTGTTGTCATTTAAAAGTGTTATGGAACAGACAGATGATATATCATCGAAGAGAGCGAATTTTATTAAAAAAAAAATCCATGCAATGATGCAGATGTTTTTCTTTACATAGGCCTCACTGGGAAACCGTTGGTATGTCCGAAATATTTGAACAAGTTGCGGCGGTGTCTGAACAAATGGTTCAGTGCCATCTCCACAAGGATGAACTTCTCTTGCTACAAGCCACAGTTCTCGTTAACGCTGGTAAGATACTAATGCTTTTCTTTATTTAAGTTTATCTAATTTAATTTAAAAACTTATACTGAATGAACGGCATTTTTTTAACTTTTCATACCGGCTTGAACTTTGAAACATGCTGTTTTATACATATATTAGCATTCTAAATTTGATAGTTATTATTGATCTAAATATAGGTATTCCCTTATTCAATATTAAAATATATGTGTCGTCAATGCAAACTAGATTCATGGAACAGCTCAACGTCACCAAAATGTTTGCTTGTGTTACTCCAGACAGGACGAGAAGCTACAAATGACGCCGATCAAATTGCGTTCATACCCCTATGAACGCAATTTCTTCTGGCAATGTTTATAGGGAAACTTGTAGTGTAAAGGAAAATATATATTTAAATGAAAAGGCGAAATTCTTCGTAAACTGAATTTATTTTTGAAGTAAATAACTATATATGAGAAAATGTAGAATTGAAAAGTCACTATGTTTATAATATATTCCGTCTTTGCGTATTGCAGACTTATCTTCTCTTGGGAGCAGGGATTGATTGTTACGTCACTTGTTTGTGAGAGTAAAGTCATCAATTTTTGAGAAAACGACGTAATTTTCTCACACAAACCAATGACGTAACAATCAACACCTGCTCCCAAGAGAAGATAACTCTGCAATACGAAAAGACGGAATAGAGGATATCTAATGGTGTCTTTAGTAATAACAAATATAATTCACAAATAAAGACACCATTACATTTTCTATTTATTATATTTTTAAAGCATAAAACATGAAAAATGTAATGCATTAAAAAAAGGGCGGGAATCAGAAGCGCAATATTTAGCGCCATATTCTGATGACGTCACACTTGACAACAAGGCTGCGCGCCATTTTGAATGGGATACTCAACGCAATTCTGCTATTTCCTGGTATGATTGCGTACAAAAATGTTAATAATTGTATATTTATGTAAATACTTAAGTGTGTGTACCAAACATTTACCATAGCAACCACTTATTCTACCGTCGCTTCATTTGAATCTGAACAAAAAATCGTTGCCTTTGAATGCAGCGAATAGAAGATACCGCGGTTATGATTGGTCAATACCAACTGTGAAAATATTTGTCACAGTGTTAAAGATATCAGTTTTATCAAGTTGATAGATAGAGAATAATACATCCCTTTTTCCATATCACACCCAGTATCAACCCGAGACTGCAATATCAGCCCAAGGGCCGAAGGCCCGAGGGCTGATATTAGTCGAGGGTTGATACTGGGTGTGATATGGAAAAAGTCATGTTTTATTCTGTTTATTACATACTAATAAAAGCTACTAATGTTAAAATTTTCTTTTGAAATATTGAATACGAAAAATAATCCAAAAGGGGTGTGATACGGGTTTTGCGGACTGATACAGGTTTTGGGGTGTGATACGGCGGAGGCTGATACAGCTTTTGGGGTGTGATACGGCGAGGGCTGATATGGGGAAGAGCAATTGTGTCGTATCGCATATATAAAATACCCGTATTTATTAGTAAGTATGTAATACAATCCGATTTTTCAGTGGCAAAAATGTAATCTTTAACATGGTTATCGTCAATGCTTCATCTTTAACGTATCTGTATTATTTGTTTCAACAGAGGTCCGAAAACTGGCCAGCTGTAGTAAGATATACGAAATGAGACAGTCGATATTAGATGCCTTAGTAGACACCGCTCAAAAATATCACCCTGACAACCTGAGACACGTGCCGTCCATCCTTCTATTACTTACTCACCTACGTCAGGCTGGGGAGCGAGGTATAGCTTATTTCCAAAAACTTAAAAACGAAGAAACAGTGTATTTCTGTGACTTACTGAAAGAAATGTTGGACGCACAAGACTACTCTGAAAAGCGGACAGGAAATGAAGGAGAATGACGGAAATATTAATTTCTCTTTGTTATTCTCACATCTTCGCAACTTGGTGCATTTAAAAAAAATATACAATTCGATGTTCAAATGTTCTAAGACAAATGAAGTGAACTTTCTGGAAATAGGGCATTTTCTTTAAGTGCGAGTTTGGTACCTGAAGCATTTGGACCCTGGTGGTTGAATGTGAGACTTGTGTGAAGGCGCCTAACTACCTCAGACGTTTGCGTTCACAGGGGTTCCCTATCATGTCAGATCCAGCTCCTAAAACATGGACAAATAAAACCTGTGCTGTGGATTTGTGAGTTATTGACAAAGGAAACTTCATTTGTTCTGTGGGCTGAGCAAGTCTTTTATAGCACTTAATGTGTTGTGCAACTTAGAATTGACTTTGTCCGAGGCGTAAAGTGATGTTTTATGACTACTATAAGATGTTTCACTCGCGAGTCATGTTGTAGACAATCTGTCTATAATTTGATGACTGATATCATTATTATGTTCTAATCACTAAAGGAGATACTTAACAAATTTCATTCTGACGTCACTATGTGGATCTATAGCTTAAAGCGTGATTTTGCGGCCAGTTCGCCATGTGTTGTGTACTTACCTTGGACGCTACGATGATTTGAGTCATTCTAGGTATCAATGTCAACGTGCCAAGCCAATACGTGTCCAACATATAAGAGTTTATTTTACGTCTGACCGCACTATTAATGATTATTTTGTACTAACGATATCTCATTTACATTTGATTCTTTATTAATTAGATTTGAAAATGTCCCATGAATCATTTATGCAAAAATCATGCAAAAATTAATAATTTCAAATGTCGTGATTGCTCCTATTTTATTATGTTAACACTTTGCGGGATAGTAAAATTTTCGTTCATTCGCGAATTAAGTATTTCGCGATTGTTGACAACACACCTTCAAGTGTTTATTTCCAAATTCTAAAATATTAGTTTCGATTTCGAGTGAAGTTATTTTAGCAAATATTTAGCTTTATAGTAGAGTTCAAATTCAATATAATCCAAATAGGTTAAGAAAACAAGAGAAAGCGTTTGATATAAACGTATATAAATGTATTGCCGTCTTTAGTAGATTATGACGCCACCTATATACTTGAAAGATAATATTTTATTTGTTTTATTGTAAATCTGTTTTTGATGTTTTTGTTGGTATGATACTTTGTCACACTTTGTTTAAAAAGGTATAAGTGTAATTTTTGACTGGTGTTCATATTGTGTGTACACTCGCTTGGTGGTATACATATGAAACGTTCTCGTGTTTATATTGTGTGTACACTCGCTTGGTGGTAAACATATGAAACGTTCTCATGTTTATATTAACATAATATTGATGACAAGGACGCCCTTCATATGTTTCTGCCTGGTAATATTTGGTGCATTGGTTTGAGAAAATAGAGAATTATCTAATCATTATCATTGAATCCTATATAAATGTGATTTAGTTATCAGGGGTTTTATGAAATAATCATAAAATAAGTTCTACTCACGTTTCACAAAATTGAGTACATGCATAAACCTTGTTCATCGTTATTGAAATATGATAAGTCGCCATGGATTGTTGTTCAGGATCTCTGTCCCATTGCAGGAAAAACACTAGATGCTTCCGTTCTAGTTTCATACATTAAGTAACCTTACCAGGCTTACGTTCACTCCGTTTTTGATATATGATACGGGGATCCCTAAGGTAAAATTCATACAATACATGTTTATTGGTAATGAATAGTTATTGGTATGTGCAGATAAGTCTTTTCATTGTTAATTGTAAGAATAATTATATGACAGCTGTAAAACAGTCAAAGTTTACAGTGAATATTCTGTATAAGGCCACGTATATAATTGGTGCACTTCGTTTATATTGAAATGTAAATTTGTGCATTTCTTATGCAGGTCTAGAATAGTGCATGAACTTACATGCTTAGTCTATAGTATGTGTATGAGTTAGCAAGCTTGTAGACATTCAGCTGCCGTATTACACAGCGTGCGTGGGAATGCACGTTGATTGGTTAGTTGAGTGTAAATAGAGGCAAAGCTGGTGCAGGGAATTCAGCCATAATTACGTTACACGAGTTTATAGTCAAGTGCTTTGAAATTGTGCCAGATTTTCTGTCAGATTCTTTTTAAAACTTCTATGAAACGCTCGACAAGATCCAATCTTGATTTCCTCTTTTTTTCGATTTTCCACATTGAAGTTTTTAATTACAATAATTGTTTTATACATTCAATGTTAATTACAATAATTGTTTTATACATTCAGTGTACGCTTTTAACAAAACAATAATGACACTTTGATCAGTATGATTCATCTGACAAAATTCAGTTAATGATTTTTTTTTTTATCTCGTTAAATCAAATAGTTACATATACACAGAAGAGTTCTGTTTGATAGATGTGGCGGTTCTTTATACTGGTTAACTGTTATGTCACTATTGTATTTTATAATGTTTTTTTTCTCTATGTTCAGAGGCGATTGTATTTTATTAAAATATGAAATATATCATATATGTGTTGTGATTTTTATGATATTGGTTCAAAGGAATTGAAGCTTCTATTTTCGAGAAGTTCCACTATTTTCAATATTACTATAACAAAACCATAGCAATCATCGCTGCTGATGGTTAGTTTGTTTTATACTTTCAATATTTTGACACAATATTCATCTTCAAGAACTCGCTACATATATTTTTTTACATACAATCGAACGAACGTTAACTTTGTGAGTTTGTTTGTTTGATTTTGTTTAACGTCCTTTTAACAGCTAAGGTTATTTAAGGACGGCCTCCCCTGTGTGCACGATGCTTGCGTGTAGTGTATGTGTGTGTATTTTGGGAGGCTGCGATATGTTCGTGTTTGTCTCCTTGTGATAGCGCGGAACTGATGCCGACTTTATAGTGCTACCTCACTGAAACATACTGCCGAAGACACCCAGCAGGACGCCCCACCCGGTCACATTATACTGACAACGGGCGAACCAGTCGTCCCACTCCTAATTTGCTGAGCGTTAAGCAGGAGTAGAAACTACCATTTTTAAAGACTTTGGTATGTCTCGGCCAGGGGACAGAACCCAAAGCCTTCCTCACAGGGGCGAACGCTCAACAAATGGCCAAAAGTGAGGCATTGTCAAGGGAGACATTAGGAAGAAGAAAGTTATTTAGAAAGGAGAGAAGAGATAAGGTCCCAAATTTAGTCGCCTCTTACGATCATGCAATTGGGGGCAGCAGGTACAATTCTTACGCCCTACCTGCAGGGTCAAAGAAAGTTAACAGTTTTAAAGTTTTGCTGCATGATGAAAACATAAACATAGAATAATAATAAAAAAGATGAGGAAAAGAAGAAGATAACGCGTATATAATATATATCGACCGCATATTTAAATAATTTTAGAAGATAATGTATGTCATCACACACGAACACATAAATCGATGACGCCATCAATGATATCGTAACTAATAGTCACAAATGTATTGTAGTTTTAAATACTTAGTATTTATAGAGTTATTTAAAGTTTCTACTAAGTATTTCAAATACAAGAGTAAAAATTATATTCTTAATTGCATGAAATAGTATTCACCAATGACATTTCTAGCAATGGAGGAGTATACAAGCACGAAATAACTACGAACCGTCGTCTGCAGGTAGAACTAGGGTTCTTCCCATGAACGTGTGGGACAATCTTTTTTCCATCTTCAATTTACATTTTTGAAATGTAACCTCAAAGTCCTTTTTCAAACTTTTCCTCACCTGACCTCGATTTAAGGACCACGTTCACGGAATAGTAATACAATCTCATTCATACTGAAGGTTAGTAGGTCCGTACCGTATCTTCAGTATGGAGACCATCATGAATTCTCCAGTGTCCTCATCAGATCTTACCCAGTACTTGAATGCCCCACCATTTACCTCCTCAACTACTAGTACTACTGTGAATCATTCAGATCATCCTTCTGGAAATACAGTCAGTACATCCAGTACGACTGACCCGTCTATATCTACAATGATTGAAGCCATACTTAACTCTGAGCCTTTTCTCAAAAACTTCGCTGACAAATTAGCGCCACCTATTGCTAACACTGTCTTCAACATGCTAGACAATATGATAACTGCAAAACTGAAACCATTGATCGAACAGACTGTTGATACTAGTCTCCGTAATTCTAGTCTGCTCCGTGAAACGGTTGACCAGCACGTGAAAACGGCCGTACATCCCCTGGTAAATGTTATAAAACATCAAGAATCTGATATAAAGTCACTTCAAAGTCGGGTACAGGAAGCAGAAACCTCCCTCGAGGAGCAACAGTAATACTCCAGGCGTACTGCTTTGAAATTTCACAATGTGCCCGTTCCCGAAGGAAATGTGTCAAATCTAAACACTCACCGTGTAGTTACTCAGATCGCTAGGGACATTGGCGTGGATCTATCGCCGGATGCCCTGTCCCGCACCCATGTTCTTGGAGGGGTCAAGCAGGGCAAGACCACCGTAATAGCTCGTTTTGTTCGATACACTGATCGCCAACGTATTTTCAGTAACAAGAAGTCCCTCAAAAATCATAAGGACAAGATCTATGTTACAGAGAGCCTTACCAAATTTCGTCAAAATCTCGTCAGTCGCCTAAATAAACTAAGAAAGGACCGTCATATCTTCTCCCTATGGACTGCTGACGGACGCATATTCTATAAAGCTTCAAAGGAGTCCGCGAAAACTCTCGTTCAAACCGCTGCCATGGTGACCGAATTAGAGGAAATGTTTTACCCAGCTGAAACTCAACCAAAGTCATTTTGACATTCAATTTTCCTAATGTATTGACTTGTTTACTATTATATCTCTCACTTGAACATATTAGCGCACCGGTTTAAATGGTGGAATTAATTATGTAATTCCTTTGATTTGGATTGTTGAATGTAGTCATATCTTCATGTAAGTATCGTTGTGTGCCTGTACATGTAAGTGTCGTTGTGTATGTGTGCATGTTTGTGTCGTTGTGTATATGTACATGTGGGTATCGTTGTGTATATGTACATGATGGTATTGTTGTGTATATGTACATGTGGGTGTAGTTGTGTATATGTACATGTTGATATCGCTGTGTATATGTACATGTAGGTGTCGCTGTGTGTCTGAACAAGTGAGTGTCGTTGGGTATCTTTACATGTCTTTCGTTATGTACTTGTACATAATGTAAGTGTATAGCTAAATATGTAGGTCATATCTATATAGTGTTATGTTGATTCGGGATACATCGGTGTTGTTAGGTAGGCACATATAACAATTATGTAAATACG